GAAATTTGATTATGATCTAGTTTTGAGAGACGTTTCTTCAAAAGAAAGTTTTGGAAAACACGACTTATTCCGATTTTTGACGTTTTAATGACGTTTTAAAACGTCACCCGTCCCCAAAGGGTTAAACCACTTTAAGGCGAATTAATTTAAGACTGATGTGTCTACTTTGTGTTCACGAGGCGATGCAACAACGGCTGTAGATAAAGAAATGAAGAGGATTAAATAATTTATAGATTACATGCTGGCTGAACAGTGATAACATTATTAGTTAGTGTTACTGCTGCGTTTTGTGCATAGGCTGCACCAACGAGTGAGGCACCATCCATAAATCCAATCGATGCCGATGCCATTAGGATACCTTGAAATTTACAGCCACTGCCCAACACTGCACTACTTCCAATCAACCAGAACACACACTGTGGTAATGCACCATTTACCAACAGAACCTGGCTGTTAAGTGATGTTCCTAATGCACTACCGATTTGAAATATGAACACTCCCGAACCACTTAATGTCAATTGACCATTGGGTGCAGCTATTGATGCTGTACTAGCAAATGTATACACACCCGGTTGCAGTGTAAGCCCACCTAGATCAACACCAGTCAAGGATAGAGATTGCGGTGCTTCTGCTGCTTGATGGACAGCTACATCCAGGTCTGTTTTAGCTTGCGTAGCAGTCGTACCTAGCCCCAGCGATGTTGTGCCAATCAAACTGTCGTACCTAGCCCCAGCGATGTTGTGCCAATCAAACTTTGATTACTGAAACCAGTACAAGCCACACCTGGACTATTACCAATGTCACCTGTGACTAGTGTATTAAGGCCCGCATTAGCCACTGTGCTGCCGGCCAGGATAGCAAACTTCGCTGCCGTGCCAAGTTGAGGAGAATGAATTGTGGTGTGAACTACTGTAGACGTCTAGATGGCGACAAAAACAAGTTCTGGCAACATTTTATAAGTGGACGCGACCGCATTACGTACCTCAATAACATTTAAAGTCATGGGATGAATAATACAAGATAAAACACATAATACAATAAGAATATGCATAACGACGATGAAGTAATAATAAGCAACTGTGTGACTCTAACATGAGCATGAGATGAATATTTATACTATTTTTGATAGAGAATTCATCTTTCTCTGGATTCGCCTAGAATAACTGATTTTGCCTGCAGAAAATAGTGTTAGATAACACAACTAAAACGTTTTTCTTCTTTCTAATAAAATTTCACCATCCTCGCTCATTAGGGTTTATTTTTGTTCTTTATTATTTAGCTTCTTGAGTACATTACGAAAAAATGATAGAAATTATATTAGATGTATAAGAAAGATATAGTACGTCGTTCGAAATGTACTATGGGATAACATATTTACCACCACTATGTACTTGAATAGTGTCGACGTCATTGCATAATGGTGAACACATTTTGTCCTTCCGACTTATTCAAGCAGAACGTTTTTTCTAATTTAATTATTTCGTCTTGTCTTTTCATTTGTCCTTTCGACTCATTCAAGAAGAATGTTATGATTAATTTTTTAAATCTGATACTATTTTTTCCTTTTCAGCCCAGTAACGTGGAACTTCTCACCCCATGATCCATAAGAGATGACTTTAGCCGCTATGCGACAAGTGATCGTGTACTCTCTGAAAAGGAAAGGATCCAGACAGAACCTTTTAAAGGTCCTGTCTTTGGGTCCCACATCGAAAGGTTCTGTTCAGAAAAGGTTTGGTACGGCACCTTCATATTCCAGTATTAAATATTTATAAATATACACAGTACATTTGACAGAGCGTAAACGTTAAGCCGTTACGAAAGGTTTTGGTTATTTTTTAGAGTTTCTGAAAAACTGGTTTTCCAGAAGTCCGGATCTTCGAAGGACTATGGGGAACTCCCTCCATAGTCATACTCAGAATCAGCATGGTCAATAACTTATAATCCACTCGATTTCGATCAAAAAGCGATTTATCACTTTGGGAGGTTCCGTCGTAAGCTCATGGTTTCATGTACCATCCCAATCACAAAGAACTTAAGATCGACAATCCTCGTAAGACAAAATCTGAAAACTCTCATTAGTTTACCTTCGTAATAGTCGTTTTAATCAACTGATATCTGAAATGCAAATTCCCACCAAGGAAAAATGTTTTCCTTCAGTACGCGACACAAAAAACTAGTATGGTCGATCTAAGGGAATATGTCTTTTTAATACAGCAGCATCCATAATAATTTTATTAAATTATGACTTAATAAAAATATTTTTATTAAGTCATAATTAAATAAAAATTATTATGAATGCTGCTGTATTAAAAAGATATATTCTCTCAAGATTACTGGCTCTAAACCGAAGTAGTGTTAAGTTCGATCTAAATCGAGGATAAACGGGATTTTTCGAAATTTTCTCTTTCAGTGGAATCTTAGCTCAGCTGCAATCATTTCCTGAAAGTTTTCAGATATACGATTATTAGTTGGTGCTCGAGATAATTTTTCTACCTTTGATGCTTAGGGAGAAACGTGTTTTATCATTTTTTCTGTTATCGCAACGTTTCAGCCAAAATTAAGTAGTTACCCAGAATTTCGATCGATTTTTTTGATCGAATGGAGTATCAGATAATGTCTCGGGACGTGAAAAGTTTTTTGTAACTGAGTTCTCCGCATAATCAATTTAAATGTGCTAGCTAAGTGTGGCTACAGATTATAATTTTCATAACAGTCACACAGTGGGCATTTTTAGCTAGAGCAAGCGGACTTTAGCTTTATGAGTGAACTAAAATTTCATGAACCATTTTTTTATAGGTTTTTCATGATCCTCTTTCTAATGCCATGAGAGTTGGGTTTTGA